AGGGAAGCCAAATGTTCTCACAGTATTGTCTCTTAGCTCTTCCTCTTACTCTCGCTAATGGACTTTTTCTCATTTGTTCTGAGATTGTCTTAACCCTCTACACTGATCAGCATTTAAAACATGGGATCCAATTCTTTCTGGTCTGGGACACACCTGCTTTTTAAGTGCAGTAAATACAACAGGGGAAGCCATGACAAAAAATGAATTAGTTTTTAATTCCTTTGCATTTCAATGAATTTGAATATGTTAAGTAACATTAATAAAAATATCCTCTAATAATGTATTTAATGAGTTCCTCTTCTGTTATGTGAAAATATAAATTGATTGCATCTTTTTGAATTACTGAACCCAAGACATTTATGCATTGTGCGTAGTCTGAAGAGTCAGTTTATGCATCTCCAATTAGAATGAGTAATTTGTTTTTCCCTTTTATGATGTAAAAATAGAGTGAAAGCATTTTGGATGGAAGATAAATCTGAAAATGAAAGATCTTCTGACATTAAACAACTAGCTGTGTGTGTCATCTCGAAGATGTAATTGTAAAACTTTTACTGTTATAAATCCATCCTCTTTCCGCTGGCCACTTCATTTTTTGTATCATTTAATTAATGCATGGGCTTTCCAGGCCAATAGTTTCAGACAGTTCCTAACAACATACATATAATACATAAAATGCTAAAACTATTTAGCATTCTAAGGCAATTCGAACACTAAAACGCTTAAGGAGACAACACAATAGATACTGTCAAACCACTCAGAACTTCCCTTTGCCATGCTGAGGGTAGGAAATTGTCACTGTGCATAAACAATGGAATACTGAATTAGGAGAGGGGTGATGTGACTTTGAAATCTCACTAAACTATGAAGGCTGCACATTTTCCCTTAGCTTATCCTCATAGGAGAAGAATGAAAACCAAAATGTCTCTTCTTGTTCCTCACACAGAAAATGATAAGACTGATATTTTTTTTCACTCCAGAGTTCATTTATATTTCAAGAGGTGTGTTTCTATTACTTTATATTATTTCAGTTGAATGTAATTATTTTCCAGGAATTACACATAGATTTTCACAACAAAAAGTTGCATGCAAATGGTTAGGCCTTCTGTTCCCTAAGGCAGTGTTTCTCAACCTTGGGAAGTTTAAGATGTGTGGAATTCAATTCTCAGAATTCCCCAGCCAGCATACTGGCAAGTCAAACAAAAAATAAATAAAACTATAAGAAGAAAAAAAGAATTATATTGTATCATCACCAGTGAGCTATGAAATGTCTCTAGCAAAATCAACCCTTTGGGAGACGTAGCAATCTCACAAAGTATAAATACAATCAAACTTTATCTCGGAAAAGGAAACAACAAAAAGTAAAAATACCTTTCTAACTTTTAGTAATCATAAACAAGCCTATCAATGCCAAAGGACATAAAAATATGGTGCTGTTAAAATTGAATAGCATTTTTTTTTCCAATAAAAAGACTCCATAGAGAAAAGTTTGTACAGGAAAACATAGAATTTTGGAAGACCACAGGGAAATGCTAGCGTCTTTCCAGTTGGAGCCACTCTGAGATAAAAAGGTTCCAAGGTGAACAAAAATACAGTACTTGTACAAAGACAATCACTACAGACAATAAATTAAACTTAAACATTAGTCAAATTAAAAATAGTCTTACATAGTATTTCCATCTATTTTAAAACCTATTCTTACAAAGATAGCCATGATTTTTTCTCAAAACAGTTTTCCTTCTGTATCAGTTTTTCCAGTTTCTTGAGGATTCCAATCAGTTAATTCTGAGGCTTCTGGGAAACAGGCAGTTCCATTTTTCTTCACGGTAGTAAATAGAGAGGGGTTTTGGAGGATCTTGCTTGTTGCATTGTGCCAAAATCCATATTCTTTTTCCCCCCCTCATTTTTTTTTATTTTCTATTAGATAAATGGCAGTAAGGGAGGTTGTGATTTGCATATTGAAAGAAATGATGACGCAACTTAATGGAGCCCTACTTTTTGCATCATTAAAGCAGATGCATCTTATTCTACACTTATAAAGCTTCTCAGGAAGCTGCCCTCAGTTTTGTATGTATACCGTCCTTGTTTCAGGGGGAAGGTGCAGTCTCAACTCTTGGGATTACTGGGGGCATCCATATTTTTTTCTTGGCCAGCATCACCTGAAAAATATTTGCCACAGCTTCTTACCATCAACATTATGGAAATTAACTTGTGGAAATGAGGCATCTGTGTTTAATGGTAAAGAGATGTTTGCATCAAAATGATATTCATATAATGAATTAGCCTGGCCAAGCTCTAGATTAGAATAGCAATTTCGTAAGAATCATAATTTAAGGTAATTTGGGTACAAAAGGAGTAGAGAAGACATACACCTTAATGTATTTATCCCATATGCTAAACTGCAACTATGCTAAAATAATTACTGTATAAGAATATGAAATTATTAATCAAGTGCAATATTCTACAATATCTTGAGTTCCCACATGTTTGGGACTTTAGCTCCTATTAGTTCCAAACAGTATAGCTAATGTCAGTGTGATAGATTTTGTGAATTAAATGTTCTTTACAGATTAAGATCAGGAAAGATTGTCCTAAAAATCTTGTAATCTGAATGTAGACACTATGCATTTCCTGTCTTTCAATCTTGCAGATTTTCTATACCTTACAAAATTCTGCGTGTTCTCTATTAACATAATGACTGGAGCATCACAAAAGATGAAAAGCAAATCAACTGCAAGACAACTTCCAAGTCTTTCCTTGTTGCCTATTGCTTGCGGGTTACTAGTTCTCCTCCTTCAGTGCCTAGAATTATTCTGTCTTTCACCCTCAGCTCCTATGAGCCACTAACCCACTGAGTGGTAAAAGTGCCCAGTAGAAAAAATTAGTGTTTTTAGACCCCAGAGGGTTAATATTCCCATCTGGCCCCTTAACTGAGATAATGATTCCATGGATTATTTAATTCTTCCGGATTTTTATTCAAATACCAGTTGTTTTGAACACAAGACAAATGATATATTTAAGTATCTGAAGGTCAGTAAAGAGATGACATCAAGGATTTGGCACAATTAACAATGACCACCATGAAGTTCCTCACCTAGTGTTTGGATTATGTTATTGTCACAAAATTCCTCATATTCTAAAATAAGGCTTTCTCAAGTCAAATGCTGGTTAAGACTATACAGTGCTAATGTGGTTGTAAATGGAACAAAAATTTCTGCCAACAAACTAGCAATTTATTATTTTCACTACCCAAACTCTTTCTTACTCTTGACTTACCTCTTCTTTTCCTCTGTATGTTATTATTACTCCTTATCCATTCCTGTGAAACTTTTATTTCCCTCAGCCTTATTATAGTCCAAATCTTTTGCTATCTGTCATCTGTCTATATCATCTATTTATCTATTAAACTAATCTAATCAATCTAAATATTTATTAAATGTGTATGCCATCTGACTCAACTTCAATTAAATTATTAATCAGCCTTTTTTACATTTTAATTTTGGAACTGATTAACTGATTAACAGTTGTTGACCATTAATATCCAAATTGGTCAACAACTGATTCTGACAGTCATTAATCATCTTAGCCCAATAAAATGAGAAATAGAAAAGTAGGTAATAATCTGAACATACCAATTTTTTAAACTTAAAAAAACTATATTATTTAAAGGTTTATTAAGGTAAAAGCAAAGCAAATCACAACATTAATAGATAGGGATTCTTAATGTGATGCCAGGAGCCCTAAAATTTCAAATACAATTGACTTGTCTTTTAATCTTGGTGTCATAAATTCAGGAATCTGTCCTAAGTAATTGAATTTAACTACAGTTAAATTGACATCTGCAAGAAATGCAATGGGCTATAAACCCCACTCAACTTACTCCAGTCTGACCCCAGTCTACCCACTTGAATAAATAGGCAAACAATCTTGGGACTTTTTTTACACTTTACTGACTTTTGTAGGGTATGACCTAACAGTATTCCAAGTCTTCCCCACTCAACTTATTCCAGTCTTCCTTTTCATATATCCACCCTTTTCATAGTAACTACCGTAAAAATTGGATTCCATACCAGAGAAACCTTTAGTTCAAGGCCCATTAAACAGATTGAACAGATTGCTTTGACTAGCAATTTTCTTTTCCTGCCATTCAAGACTTCTAAATACTGGACTGGAACAGAAGAGCAGGTCATTAAATGCATTCATTTCAATAAAGCAGAACTCAGTTTCATGGAATTTGTAGGAATTGCCTAATGCCAAACCAGACCTTTGATCCATCATAGCTCTGTGAAATCCACACCTGCACTGATTGGCAGCAATAATATAATAGGGCAGGGAGGGATGGGCAACCTTTAGTCTATGAATGGGATGCATGCAACTCTCAAATGATTCTCAGGTATAGGATTTTAGTCTCCTTCTAGGGTCTGAAAAGAGAGATTTTTTTACCTCTCTGGCCAACACAACATGTATATGCATATAAAAAAAGAGGAGTTGAGTGATAAGCATAGATATGTCTACACAGGCGGACAATGTCTCACTAACTTCGCTCAAATATTTGACATATTATCTTACGGCTAGTGATCTTCAGGAGAGAGAAATGTTCTCCACCTTGACACGAATGTTTCCCAGCAAAGACTGCAGGTTCAGAACTGAGCCTGGCACATTTGATAAATAAAGTCTTAGCCTTACATTGAGGCACAGACTCTAATGTAATTTCAAACCTTCCGTGCGTACTTTAGGAAAATCCTGAACTAACTGCAGCTACAATAGTCCAAAAGTGCTTTTTTTATGAGGCAACTGGACTTTCTGGTTTTTCTCTCAAGAAGTTTCGCTTCTCATCCAAGAATCGGAAGCAAAACATCTTCAAAGAAAAACCAGAAAGTCCAGTTGCTTCTTTAAAAAAGCTTCTTTGGGACAGTGGTGGGATTCAACAAGTGTAACATCCGGTTTGCTGAGCATGTGCTTTGCGCACGCACAGTGGGTTTGAAAACAGCTCAAAAACTTACCTTCTACTGCAGCCCCGGTGAGTAAAACAGCTGAGGCACAGCAATCCGTTCTGCAGCGCCTATCAGCTGGCCTTCAAACAAAAGAAATATAGGTCAGTATAGCGCAGGGGCAGGCGGGCCCACCTGATCATTGGAACAAATTGGTTTGCTCTCAGCTGATCATCGGAGCTACTGGTTTGTCCAAACCAGTCTGAACCAGCTAAATCCCACCCCTTTGGGATAACCATGACATGGATGACTGAGAATCTCCATAGACATGCAGCTACAATATTTATCAATCAATGATTAGAAATTCTTCATTTTAAAAGTAGTACTGTCATACAAAGAACTATTATTTTAAGAACTGTTTCCGTGAAGCTATTGAAATTTAGGTACACTGGCACAGCAGGTTCAGTAGGGCAAAAACTGCAGGTCTCAAACCTCTTTCCCCAGAAACCCTAAACATTATCCTCTGCTTCATTTAGCAGCTTGGTAGTAAGGACAGCCACTTTCTTCCAAAGGGCACCTTGCCTGGCATTCTCTAACTCTAGTTTATTGAGAGAAACATGGCTCTTGCAACTATACTACCCTTCAAGCAAAAAAAAAAGTTAACATGGAAAAATGAAATGCTTTCTATAATGCAACTGCCTGGTCTCATAGTGTAAAGGTAAGCAACTAATGGTTTCAGCCCTTCCTATACATTGGAAATAATCTTTCAAAAAGTAAACCTAGAATGCATTTTTAAAAAGTAATTCAAAATTATCATATATGGGCCTTAGCTAAAGAAGCAGGGGAATTTAAGATTAACTCAAAACAACAATTGACATCATTTTTATAGATAAATTAAGAGAAAGATTTAACATAGGTTTAAAAAAAAGTACCAGGAACAGAATAATATAAAACAGAATTTGAAAATGAATTGTATAAATGATGAACATGAGTTTGCCAAAGTGCAAATCTTTTTGTTGAGATTTGACATGGAAGAGGAGCAAGTTAAAGAATGTATGATAAAATGAGCTAAAAACTTTAGTTATTACATTCAAATGGATCAATGGAGGGCAACGAGGTTAAAAGATTTGAAATGCACATTATTTTAGAATTTAAAAGACGTTTTTATAAAACACTGTGGTACACTGGTATATGTCACTGTAAAAATTGTGTAAGAAATATAAAGATACTTCTAATTATTGTTGCAAATGTGAACACCTTGAAAAAATTTTTTACTATGGAAGTGGATGTGTAAAAAAGTGAAAAAAAAACTGGATAAAAATATATATGAAAGTTTTAAAATTTAGTATTTTGTTGAAACCGCTGCTTTTTTTTTTACTGGAACTATGGGCTAGAAAAGATTCATGATCACTGTAGTTATATATATGGCAGTTACAGGGAAGCTATTAATGCATAAAATGGAAAAAACACAGAAAAGCCCACAATGGAGGAATGGACCATTAAGATGGTAGAACTTGCTAAAATGGCTAAATTGGCTTGTTTGATTAGGGAAGGGAAGGAACAATAACTACTTTTTATAAAAGGAAACTGTGGAGTTTTTGTTGAAAATGGACAAAAATGTATTGGTGATTTCAAGACTTAGAGGTTAAAAAGAGTTGTTTAGGGAAAGAAAGTAACCATGATATGTAATTTGGGAGGGTGGAAAAAGTAATAATTATGTTTATAAGTGCTGCATAGAAGCTATGCATATGACTACTTTATATATTGTTATTTGTCTTTTACTAACTTTTTATTTTTATATTTTTATATCTTTTTCTCTCTTTTGTTTTTGTATTTTTTCTGTATTTAAAAAAATTCTATATAAAATTCTTTTTCAATTAAAATTATACCTATACATAAAATGTTAGCACGTAAAAAGCCCAATTTACAAAAATGCATACAAGCCTCTTGGCAGACCACAAGAGGGTGCTGGTCCACCCTAATTACGGATTGCAAGAGAAAGAGATACCTTTCAAAGTTATACTATTCCAAGATAATAGTACTGGGAAAAGTGAACATGATTTGGCACAGAAAATTATCATAAATGGAATGCATATCTTATGCAAAAAAAATAGGAATGTCAGAATAAAAGGGGTGTGGGTGGGTGGGTGTGGGGGAGTGTGAAAGAGGGAGGGAGGTTTAATACCTATTTTTATGAAAACAGACTAAAGACATATTCCTGTGCTTATTTTTCCTGCATCTGCCCCTGTTCCTTATTTACATCACATCTCATTATAATTAATGTGAGAGAAGTTGGTTATGCTAATGAGTTCTACTATTCCAATAACAGACATTTCTATAAACTTACTAGCCATTTAAGTTGCTTTTCTCAAATCTTAAATTATTTATTACCTCATAGAAGGCAACAGGAATATTTTACTGGCAATGAGGACAAAAAGCAAACCTCAAAACTAATGTTTAAAACCAAGACTATATAAGAAAAATAAAATACAACTACATTAATCATACATTTTCAATAATGGTACTCCTGTAAATTAAAATCACTTAAATCAAGGATTGCTACTTCGTTTCCTAAAAGCTGAGTAGGAAATTTCCTTGTTTCAATTTTAAAGCAAATCTTTTAAAACTTAAAACCTTATAAAATGAAGCAATGGTATATTTTTAAAAAATTAAGGAAATTTATCCTGATAGTTTACCTTACAGTTGAGGAGCCTAGCTCATCCCTTGTTCCAATACAGTCATGTTTAGAAATGATTGATCTTTGCCAGTTCAAAGCACAGGAGGCACAGAAACAAGAGGGATTGTTCATATAGACGCATATTCCCATTCTACACTGAATTTCAACTACTAAGCATGCTTAGGCGTTTCAGGACTCCCAAAGGGAAGGCCTGCACAGCAGTTATGAAAATGAACTATAGTAGCCCCCAGATCTTGGCACCCATTGTAACCTTGTACCAACCAATTTGACTCCACTATCAGCATGACCTTCGAACAGACAGCAAGAAACGTAATTGTGACTTCAATTTTGTCAGAAATTTCAGGCAGGAAAATAATCTCATCAGTACTCTTTCCTTGAAGGAAAGCCTTTCCTTTATGGAGAACTAGTGGTGGTGGGGAGAATCAAGAAAGGTCTCCACTTCCCTCCTTTGATCAGGGAATCTACTCAGAGTAGGTTGGCAACTATCAGACAAAGATTAGCTTCTGATATCAAACTAAAAAAATATTGCATCAATGATCAATATAAATGTAGGTGTACACATTACACATTTGTCTCATTTATTCCGGGACATGTAAAAATTGATAGCAAGTTAGATTATGCTAAATAGTCTGTTTAAAGTTATATGCAGAGCAAAACTCGTGATTTCAACAATTCACTATTAAAATTTAAATTGGCAGTTAGCTTTTATCACAGTCTAATGACTGAAGCTAAAGTCTGTATTGTCCACCTCCACAATTTATTTAGAAAACTTTATCTGTCACTGTAACATAAGAATTCAAAAGACTGATTTGTTTGTTAAGGCAAATAATGCAAAGCAATAATACTTTTTAATAATTTAATTTAATAATTAATTTAATATTTTTTAAGTTCAGCATTATCTTCTAATGATTATAAATGAGGACATTGGACAGAGTGAGGCTAGACAATGAGAGGCATCATTTAAAAATACATGAATTTTGGTCATACAAATAACAGGAAACAACTGTTATACAAAATTATATATGACCTTATATGCTTATATAACTTGGAAAACATCAGAAAACTGCCATAACCCAAACTGAAGTGTATTCATTACTTCATATTGGATTTTTCTACTATACATTACTTGGGACTACCTAGACAATATAGGACTAATTTAATATTTTTTTTAAAATGTGTTAGAGGGAAGAATTATTATAGCTAACCATGGACAATGCAAGATAGCATTAAAAAAATTAAACTAAACATTAAATGAGAAAAATTAAAAAACTCCACGAGACATTAAACAACTATAGAGAGTCTGGATGAAAAAGCTACACAAACAGAAAATGTGTCAGCCTCTTTCTATTACATAAAAATAAGAACTTTCTACTGATTTTGACCTGCTAGGTTACATGCCCTTCTCACAACATCTGACATCATTACAGTCAGCTAGAAAACAGCAAACCAGCCAATGACACAGCTGCACTCAAAACACACCCACCACATTAAAAAGAGAGAGAGCATGGGGTTTTTTTTAGGATGGTTTCCAAACACTCAAAAATTGTGGTTAGCTATCCTTCTTTTTTGGTGGTGGTTTGCTAATTTTCCCTATTCATGGAATCTCCCTTCAAACTCTGTCATTATTTGCTTATTTGGATCACAGTTTCCTAGTGTGCCCCTGAATGATAAAGCTCATACGGAGACACTATAGCACTGTCATAAACTTAAAGCTAGGAGGGGGGTGGAGAGAAGGAGAAAGAGTTGCAGAACATTTGCAAAAAGAAAGTTCTAAGCTATTTTGAGACTGAAACAGGGAAGATCTGACATTACTTGACAATCCCAAACACAAACCTGCTTTCTTAGTTTTAATGGGGAAATAGCTGTATAAGAAGAGGTTCTCAAGAGCTTCTTCAAATTTCTAGGAAGACAAAGGCCAAGGAGGAAGTATAAGGAAAAAGTCATCTTTTTAATAAACTTTTATAAATCATTTCTAGCCTTATATATACAAACCTATCAAAAAGAAAAATAATGTAAGAATCTCTCCCTCCCTCCCTCCTCCCTCCCTGTGCGTGTGTGTGTGTGTGTATCTGCACATGTGCTCTTGTATTTGAACAGCCATTTGTCTGGAATGGTATAGTCATAGTGTCTCCTGCTTGAGGAGGAGATTGGACTATAAGACCTCTAGGATTCCTTCCAACTGTTATTCTGTATATGACCAGTACAGTGAAATTCCATTAACTCAGCTTTCTTGTTTCCAGAAAGAGCCAACCTGATGCTTTGGGGAAGATTCCAAGCATAGTATGAAAGCAACATTGTTCAACTATTTTGTTCCCAGATCTTAGTATTCATGGAGGTTTCCTTTTAGTTATGAGTAACAGCCATTCATAAATTGTGTTCATTCATCAGTTGAACCCTTTTAAAGCCACTTAAGACAGTACCAAACTCTGTATCTCGACTATGTTTTCATAATAAATACACTGAGTCCAAACTATCCAGTCACATTTTCTCCCAGTATGTTTTATAAATTTAGCTGGGTCTTTCATTAATGCTATAATATGTAATGCATAGTAAGAAAAATGGATTACATAAACTGTGGTTAAGATAAATTCATCCAGCAACTTTAGCCTATTTTCAATGCCAACATTTTCCAACCTGATGTATCCATCAGATATTCTAGATTATATTTCCTGTGATTCCCGGGGTTTAGCTAAAAGGCAGCCTTTTATAATAAATATGCCCTTTCTTATATTCATCAGATTAATATTAGTACCAACAGATAAAGGATAGCTTTATACTGAAATATGATGCAACAATTTAAATTTAATGTATCACTTCTTAGTATTATTATAGCAAGCAAGAGGACCATTATACAAGGACAATGTATACTTAATTTATAAGAAAATATAAATATAACAAAGTTCAGAAAATGGTTGCAGCATGGAAGAACTTCTGCCTTATTAATATTGTAAGGAAGAAATTGCTTTACAAATCTACTTGGGCTATTACTTTTTTAAAAAGTATAGAGATAAAGTGTGAGCTGACAAAAGGATCATCTATCCTTTTCAATAGGGAATATTTAGTTTATCTGAGGAAGTGATAGTAGAAGGAATGCCAGAAGAAAGTGATTATGCAATGTTGATGTTTTTAATTTTATTTGATTTTAGGACTCAATGTCCTAAAATCAGTCTAAAACTGACTGGAATCAAACATTTTGTACTTCAAAAAAAAACCCCTCCAGATTTTAATAAACTAAGAACAATGATAAGTAGAATTCCATGGTAAGAATTAATGGGAAAAAGAGGTTAAGAATGAAAGTTCATATTAAAATACAATTGCAAATAAGACCAATTAAAAAAACGATAAGCCAATGTGGCAATACAGAAAACTTAATGAAGATCTGAAAATAAAAAGGCATATATAAATATGGAAAGAGGCCAAGATATGATAATGAAAACTATGGAAATGGCATGAGACTGAGCTAAGGTTACTGACCACTACTAAGAATAATAATAATAAGGGATTTATTTAGGCATTTTCAAACTAAAAGAATCAGTAAACCAATTGCTCAATGAAGGTGACCAAGCTTCAAGTTGTCAAAGTGGAAGAGATACTTAATTTTTGTTTGTCAGGAAATTGTGAACAGCAGAATGAAGGGTCAGAGGTGAAGCTTTAGATTAAATGGCCAAGGAATACCTCTTTACTTTAAATGAGTTTCAATCTCCAGGAATTGGTGAACTACATTTCCTTGGGTCACTGAGGGAAATTGGGTCAAGAGTTTATATACTACTCTTGAGGAAACATGGAAAACTAGTAAACTGCCCAGTAAGTAGAAGAGCATAAAAAGAATGCTCATATTAAAAAAAGGACAATCCAGGATCCTATAGATGTCTGTTTAACATCAATAAATGAGCTTTTAAAACAGATAATAAAGAGACTGATTTGGAAGCATCTTGAAAATATAAAATAATTATCAGATGTCACTAGGGATTCGTCAAGTACATGTAGGAGATGACCAGGCTGAACCTTAGAGAGCGATAAAAAGTGTCAAGTCCCTTTATGCCCACAAGAAATCTAAGTCCAGTCCACCTTGAATTCCATTGACTCTTATCTGCCACCTATTTGTGTTTTTAGTAGTTCAGAGAGCGTAGAGAGCGTAAATTTGCAATAAATCTGTATATTAATTTGAACTGCCTGGGCTTCATGATTTTCCCATGCTTGACACAATACCTTGCTAAATTTAACCTGCTTTTTATTACACTTCTTTAATACTTTGTGGGAAATCTGTAAACATGGTATTTCTTAAGTTCAAAAAACGTTTAAGAAAGTACCCTTTGGTGTTTTGATGAGTAAGTTAAGTATGGGCTGGATGGCACATGACAGCTGGCTCAAAAATCATTCTGAAAAGGTGTTTATCAACGGTTCTGTCATTTGTCAAAAATCTCACTGAGAGTTTAATTTGGATTTCTGTACTAAGACTATAATAGGATTCAATGATTCAAACAATCTCTCCCAATTGTATTATTTTATGAATCATGGGAGCTAAACAGCCCTGGGAAGCCAAGCCAAAGTGATACAAGATGAATAAGCTTACAATCTGCATCACTGGCAGAAACAGAAATGTTTAATTCATATTAATATAGAAACATGGTCTGGGGGACCAAAGCTGAGGCCACACATATCAAACCACTATTTTTAAACAGTGGTTTGCTGAATTAGCAGTAACATGCAAAACCAAAATGAAAAATATATCACCCTTTGTCAATGCAATGTATGAACTATGTAAATGATTCTTGCAAAACAGCTGCATCTTACAAAAAAGATTTTGCCTTGTAATAAAATGGCTATTCAGAAAAGGTGCTACCAGATGCTGATATTTTGCCATTATAGATTAACATAATTCTCCTTCTACAATGCCAAAAGAGCATACTAAAGTAGCATTGGCTGTTCTTGCACAATAACCCATTGTTTGCTTGCTCCTGTCTTATTGAATAACTCAGTTCACTGGATACACATAACACAATGAATCATAAAGTAACCTCACTGACTGCTTTGGACAATACATTGAGTGATACTATGCCAATTATCTGCTGCTTAGCAGGTTGTGTGAACGCAGCCAGCATCTTACATTCTGCCACTGATTATCGAATCTAAGAGTCCTGCTGTACTGCAATAAAGGTATGTTTACTCTGTTTAGTATCTTGTAAGATTTGATTCCTGTGATCAGATTTGAAGGCGATATCATTCCCTCTGGTCTCATATAAATTATGCAATATTTATTGCATCTATACGATTCCTATGCAGATAAAGTGCAATCTCTTTTTACAAAACTGATTAGAAAGAAAGTGTCTTGTTCAAGGCTGTCCACTCAGTATATGACTACAGAAAGATTTGCCAGGTTGAAATCAAACTAGCATTGCACAGTGTGTCACAGACAATCTTACAGGCCAGTAAGGTGGACCTTAAACCATTGCCATTAAATCCCTTTCGTGATGTGGAAGCTACATCTGCATGTTTTACAAGTTCCCTGGTGATTGAAATCTTGAAATGATTCATCACAAATAGTAATTATTATAAATAATGCCTTACACGAGGCACCAACATCTAATTGACCTTGTCTGAGCTTGGAGGATAAGTAGCCTGATAGGGTCGGGAGACCTCCTTAGAATCTCAGGGCTGTAGCCTAGACTAGGAAATTGAAAGCGCGCGCACGCACACACACACACACACACACAAAGCCATCAGTAACAAACTGCTTATCTGTGGTTGCTAATGAAACAATATCAGGGGAGGGGGCTCAACTTGAAGACTTTATTAGAAATAATATTGCACCCATATATTATCTTGATGTTTTCCCAAGACTCGTTTATTCATGGCAAATAAAACCTTAGCCAAGGTTAATTGAACAAATATTCTGAGTTTGTAAAGCATGTGGAGCCATCAGGCCTGCATTCACACTCCAGATTAAAAAATGACTGGCTACTTTGTGGTCCAGTATGACTCAGCCACCCTTCCATTCAATCTCCTATTATAATGATTGCAAGTTTCAAACGAATAGCATCTTGAAGCTGCTACTGCTGCTTTTTCACATCATTGCCATTCTCCAACACTAGCTTGACTGGATGGATATCTACACTGACACTAGGTTGAACTAAAACGCCCAGGAAAGTTTGTTTACATTTGCAGCTTTGGATGCAAAACTCCAAAATAAGCTACATTTTGTTCCAACAATCAGTATGGGACATTGAACATCCTACTTTGAAAATTACCCATCTTTTCCAGAGGATTTTTTTTTTGCCTCCCCTCCTAATCTGCTCACCAAAACGAGACAGTAGCCAGAGGACATTCTCTTACTTAGACATCTTTGTGTAGTTACAGAATTTATTCCCAGAATCAGACCAGCGGTTCTTCATTTGTACCTTCACAGAGCAGGGCAGCTTAGAGTCACGAACGGAGTCCTTACTGCTCCGGAGCCTCTGAGAGCAATTTATAAAAATACACCTGTATGGTGGCTGCTTTGGCGCCGGCAGGTGTTTTTGCGTGCCTTCCACTGACGCGAGGAGGAATTCCTAGCAACGCCCCCCTAGGAACATTACGGAGACCCCCGGGTTTGCTGAAGCAAGGCGAGCTCACTGGAGGAGGCTACCACATTCCCAAGCTGCCGTGAAGATCGCGCAAACAAAAGTAGTTACCGGTCCAGAACAGCAGGTCCGGGAAAGGCGACAGTCCCGGAAGGGGAAGGAGGCGCTGCGCACGGCAAGCGAAAGAAGCAAATGTCGATAAACCGGCTCTCGGGAAAAGGCAGGATGGGGGCTCTAACTCAACTCTGCGCTCCGTCGTTCTCGGCTGAGGAGGGCCACTGTGCACAAGTGACAGTGAGGTAATGCGAATCTCTGCAACAACAGCAGCCGCTTTCGAGTCACATGCTTGAACTTTCCCCAACTCCACCCCCTGGCGGTCCTTTCTTTCCCCGGTTGGATTGCTACATCCTGGCCGCGGGGCGGGCAGACCACCCAAAGGCGGGGGTGGGGTGGGGGCCGCCGTCTCTCTCCCTGGCTTTCCTCCGAATCGGTGGGAGCGTCGTAGTCATCTAATGAGGATTCTTGTTAATGCCATTATTGGTATGTACTGTGCCGATACTGTACCTCAAGGGAATCATGTGAAAAATAAAGGCTTGCCACGTTGAGTCGAACTGTCGAAAATGGTCCTATTTTGAACTAGTAACTGAGTTCACCCCGCAATCTGAGACAAAGTTTTTTACAGCTGAATATACACACATTTAGCTGGTTCGAGTTTGTTTTCTAGTTCATTAAAACTGGCCCATCTGAAGATTTTCTTAAATTATCATAGGCAGAAAGATGCCAAGAGTTTCTTTTCAGTCTTGCCCGGGTTGAAGGGTTCACCTCAGAGGTGAACTGCTTCTCGGGAGATATGCAAACTTGTGAAAAGTGAATTTTTTTCTTGCATATCTTAATTAATTTTAGCTTGTTTTACAAACCATGCTTAACCATAAGGAGACAGTTTAATATACTAGTGTGTCTATATTTCTACTACCACTATACTGTATTCAAAAATATTGTGACCAAGATTGCTTTTTTTAGTCTAATTTGACTATTTAAGGGGTGATCATATAAACCAGGGTTCTTCTTTCCCAACCTGTTTCCATCTAAAAGTAACATCAAAATTTCTAACCACTATGGAGTGGTTAACATCCAGAAGATATTCTGCTTGGGGCAGACTGCTGTCCCTTACTCTAAAATCTGCATCTCTGAAATGAAAAAAAAATGGTACAGCCAAACACTCACTTTTACTCTCATTTTTTTCTGAAAATTATTCAATTTCACAAACTTCTAATTAGTTTAATTAAAGTAGTCACTTTAAACAAATAGTACAAAAGTCTTTACTTTATTCCAGAATGTTCCCTTCTTTGTATTGTTCATCATTGTACTCGATGAATTGTCCATAAGGCTTCAGAATAAAAGAAGTACATTACCCCAAATCAAAGCCTATTAAATGTGATAGCTTGATTTCGCAGCTAGGAGAAGCATGCAAATAAGGCTGAGCAAAACCTTCCATCTATGATCTGATCTGTTGTTGGAAGGCAGAAGACTGTTTTGGTGTACAAGTATGGCATATCCAATGTGTCTGCCCATCACTTAATTTTCTGAGCACTTCTGTACATTCATGTAATTGCTGCCAATATCATTGAAATCAAGGTTGTAATAAGAGAAAATGGAGAAAGAAATATCATGGGAAGCTCAGATGGACTGGCTGGATATGCTTGGGTTAACTCAAGGATTTCACTGATAGCAAAGAGAAGGTAGAAAAAGGAAAAAGGAGGATCAGGACAACAACTGGACAATCACTGCCATGCGCTTCAAGAACAGTCTTTACAACCAACACTCTGTCATTGATTTTTCCAGATCCTTTCTGTTCCCATCTCATGTTAGCTGCCTCCAATTAATGTCTTTGGTTTCAAAGACATTAATTAGAGGCATTTCTAGCAGGACTACCAGATTCTGTAACAGCTTTGGTCCCTATGACATCCATCTGGTAAACTTGCAAGATTCATTTTCTTGCCATGTACATGTATATATCTGAACTGGACTTCATGTCATATAATAAATGTGGGTATATACATATTTATTTATTTATTTATTTATTCATGTTTAGTGTATATTGGAGGCGGTGACCCTTAGAG